TTTGAAATCCACTATATCCAATGATTTCTGCATGTCAGTGAGCCTCCAAATTATTCATATAATACTGAATGTATAATTTTTTATAATTTTACAGAAATGTCTTATTTTCTAATTAAACAAAATACAAATGCACCTTTCAACTAAACAATTGCCCAAGCATATTTTCCACTAATAACCAACATACCAACTGTAGAGCAATGTGCTAAAATCAAGTATGAGTCATCGTTTTTGTTTATAATACAAAAAGATTCTGATTATAAATTTGTTAGTCAAACATCATCAAGTTAGGTCACAGCATTACTTGTAACATATATCATTGACAATAAGTACTTTTGACAAAGATTTAAATATATAAAATATCAGCTTTGGAAGACTGAGGGACCTGAATTTTCTTTCCTGCATATATTGAGTAAAATATATACTTGCTTAAAACTATCTTTATAAATAATTTGATAAAACAAATGGAGACAGAACAGCCATGATTTGAGCTTTTACAAAATACAAAGTGTGCTATAATCAACTAAGCTATTAGTGTTGTCGTTGACTATGGAATTCAGGGGAAAACAAAAGACTCCTTTGTCTCTTTAATTACGGTATTGGCAATAATCAGAATGTGAAGTTTTATGAGAATTTATCTACGGTCATGATAGATACATAAATAGATATTGTGAAATTGATAAAGGCTTTGTTCATTGATCAGGTTTTAGTTTTGCCCTTTCTTTACATTTGTGAACATTTTATAGAAAGGAAATAATGAAGCAAATGTTCCCCTTGATTTAATAAAGTTTTCATGGTTGATCAAACTATCATTTGGATTTAGTCCATGAATGCTCAAGAATCTCCTATTTTTTTTTTATTAAACAAGAATGCATCCATAAAGAAAGAAATCATGTCAAATGTTTATCTTCAGTTACTTAGTGCATAACAAATACATGAATAAATAGTTATAGATAGTTCCTGGACCGGGGTGCCTGGGTGGCGCAGTCGGTTAAGCGTCCGACTTCAGCCAGGTCACGATCTCGCGGTCCGTGAATTCGAGCCCCGCGTCAGGCTCTGGGCTGATGGCTCAGAGCCTGGAGCCTGTTTCCGATTCTGTGTCTCCCTCTCTCTCTGCCCCTCCCCCGTTCATGCTCTGTCTCTCTCTGTCCCAAAAATAAATAAACGTTTGAAAAAAAAAATTTAGATAGTTCCTGGACCAATGAAAGCCTGACAGGCAGTGATAGCTGGAATATAGTAAGACAGGTCTAAACAGCTGATATCTAAGTCATGAAAATGGTTACTTTTATTTACTTTTAAATATAATGCAGCCCTGAGGTAAAAATACTATCCCTTACTAGTCTTACCTGTGTGTGTGTGTGTGTGTGTGTGTGTGTGTAATATTTTGCCTTTTAACCTCTTATTTTTTATTTGTTGATTTTTGAGATAGAGAATGAGAGAGTGAGCAGGGGAGGGGCAGAGAGAGGGAGAGCCAGAATCCCAAGCAAGCTCCATGCTGTCAGCGCAGAACCCAATGACGGACACGGGGCTCAAACACACAAACCATGAGATCGTGACCTGAACTGAGATCAAGAGTCAGGTGCTTAACTGACTGAGCCACCCAGATGCCCCTCTTTCTGTCTTCTTAAAGAGTTAAGATGGTTTGTATGTATAGGGCAGAAAGATTACAGAAAGTCAATCATTTCGGGACTCAAAGCCTCTTTTTTTCTTATTATATTATAATAATTATGATAAATATTAATAAAATCATCACCCTTTAAAAATTTACATATGAAAGAGTTTTTAACAAATATTTAGAGAAAAAATAAGTGCATATCATATAAACTATTTCAGAACATGGGAAATACAATGTTTGCCAGCTCATCTTATGAGGATATCATATGCATGATACCCAAACAAGACAAAATTGCACACACATCTTGCAGGTCAATTTCTCTTGTAAAAACAGATTGAAAGAGTCTACATAAAACATTAAAAAATAAATTCCAACAGTATTTAAAAAAATTAATTCAATAGAACTAAGTAGGGTTAATCTTAGGAATCTGAGGCTAATTAGTATTAATACAATTCTACAGATTAACAGATTAAAACATAAAATCACCAAGCAACCTTAAAAGATAACACAAAAACATTTGCAAAATATGCTAGCAATTCTTTACAAAATAAAATCAGTAAATAGGGCTTGAAGTATATATTAATTTTAATAAAATGTATCTATTTCCAGTAGAAACATTGCACTTAACAGTTAAAACTTTTTTTAAATTTAAAGTCCTAGTTGGAAGAATTAGAAAAGTAACAACAAAAATAGTATAATATACAGAGACATTTAATGATATTACTTGCAGAGTTATGCTTGTCCTATGTTATCAACTACCAAAAAAGAAAAAAGAAAAAAAAAAAAAAACTACACCGAATTAAAGTTCATCATGATAACATATTCAAGATGAAAATTTAGAATTCTTAGTTTGCCTATATACCAGCAAAATCTATTCCAATGAAAATATTTTTAAAGTGCATATTGCATGTGATCAACAATTATAAAATAGGAATAATAAAATAGTATTGGTGCATTAAATACCAAAAGACACACATAAAAATACACAGAGACATAAAATGTTCCTGTATTGAACAGATCAATATTAAACAAATAACAATAATTATACAAATAACAAAAAGTTTTATTTTGTGTGTGTGTTTGTTTATTTTTGAGAGAGAGACAGAGACAGAGACAGAGCATGAGTGGGGAAAGGGCAGAGAGAGAAGGAGAAAGAATTTGAAGCAGGGTCTAGGCTCTAAACTGTCAGAACAGAACCTGACATGCGGCTTGAACTCATGAGCCATGAGATCATGACCTGAGATAAAGTCAGATGCCCAAATGACTGAGCCACCCAGGCACCCCAGGTAACAAAAAGTTTTAGAAAAATATTCAATATAATTGAAATTGTTACAGATTTTGTAATTAATCACCAGGATAATAAATTTCCTTTGGAGGCAAAAATGATGAGGAAATATTCTTTATTAAAAACATGACAAAAATTGGGGCACTTGGGTGGCTCAGTCATTTCTCTTGATTTGATTCTTGATTTGGCTCAGGTCATGATCTCACTGTTCATAAGACTGAGACTGAGCTGACAGCATGCAGCCTGCTTGTGACTGTCCCTCTCCCTTTCTCCCTACCCCACTCACTCGCTCTTGCTCTCTCTGTCTCAAAACAAATAGACATTTAAAAAACTAAAAGTATGACAAAAATAAAAGAAAATGTTGAAAATTTCAACATTAGATGAAAAATAAAGTAGTAAGGTAAATTGATGTGAATAATACAGTACTTGTTAGAACAGTATATAGTCTAGACACATTTAATGAATATTTGGAATTCAGAAGAATAGGGAAAGATGTAATAGTCAATAAAATATTTAAAAACAATGGCTAACCATTGAAAAAACAAAACAGAAGTAATTTTTGATGTAATATGTTAATAAGAATCAGAAAAACTAATTTTACATGGATAATACAATTCAAGTAAGTAGCATCATGTAAAGGTAAACATCAATTGGCACCATATATTTTGAGTCAGGGTAAGGAAGTCTTTCCAAAGCAAAACAGAAAATCCATGTTATTAATTAATATATATGATACCATAAAGTATTGAAAATAGATAAGACAATGTATAATAGGCATAATCTTAAAAACTAGAATAAAGTATTTTAGAATATTAATACAAAAGATTAAACTCTCCCATTAAAATGAACAAATGATAAGGTCAAAAGAAATGCAGAGTAAATAAAAATAATTTTCCCCAAGAGGAGTGGGATACGGCAGAATATATGAGGGAATGGTTATCAACAGATAATGTTATAAATAGGCACAAACTCTTGATGTGGAATAATTATATTTTCTGAAATTTAAAATGCACTTGTCGTTCAGTATAATTTCAGTGCTAAAAACCTGTTACATGAGTATGCATATGAAAAAATATATAAACAGTATGTCTATTGCAATTTTATTTATTTTTTAATATAATTTATTGTCAAATTGGCTTCCATGCAACACCCAGTGCTCATCCCAACAAGCACCCTCCTCAATGCCCATCACTCACTTTCCCCTTTCCTCCACCATCTATCAACCCTAAGTTTGTTCTCAGTATTTAAGAGTCTCTAATGGTTTGCCTCCCTCCCTCTCCGTCTCTGTAACTTTTTTTTTCTGCTTCCCTTCCTCCATGGTCTTCTGTTAAGTTACTCAAGATCTACATATGAGTGAAAACGTGGTATCTGTCTTTCTCTGACTGACTTATTTCACTTAGCATAATACCCTCCAGTTCTATCCACATTGCTGCAAATGGCCAGATTTCATTCTTTCTCATTGCCAAGTAGTATTCCATTATATATATAAACCACATCTTCTTTGTCTATTTATCAGTTGATGGACATTTAGGCTCTTATAATTTGGCTATTGTTGAAAGTGCTGCTATAAACATTGGGGTACAAGTGGCCCTATGCATCAGCACTCCTCTATCCCTTGGGTAAATTCCTAGCAGTGTTATTGCTGGGTCATGCAGTTTTATTTTAAAATGACTAAAAGAAGGGGCACACCTGGGTGGCATAGTCAATTAAACCTCTGACTTCGGCTAAGATATGATCTCGCAGTTCATGAGTTCCAGCCCCGCGTCAGGCTCTGTGCTGACAGCTCAGGGTCTGGAGCCTGCTTTAGATTCTGTACCTCCCTCTCTCTTTGCCCCTCCCCCTGCTTGCACTCTGTCTCTCTCTCAAAAAGAAATAAACATTAAAAAAATTGTTTTTCCAAAGACCAAAAGGAGAATCAACCTTATCTATGAATATGGGAACAGTTAAATATGGTTGAAAATACAGTAATAGTTTCATATATTCTGATATATCTTCAAGACATAAGAGCAAGTTTGAAATAAAAAAAAGAAAACATTCCATATAATTTAATTATATTAATGTAACAAGTGGACTATATATGTCATATATATTTAGTGTCCTTACCATAGAAAATGTCAGGAATGACACCAAGCAAACCATGAAGACGGGTTACCCCTGGAAAAAAGTATGCAGGATATTCTAATTTATCTACTTTTGCATTATCAGTATATTTACAATAAAGCAATATTTATACACTAATTACATTTTATTGATGTATAACTGACCTGCAATATTCTATTGGTTTCATGTGTGCAGTGCAGTGATTCGACATTTGTATGTCATGAGAACTGCTCACCACCTAAGTGTAGTTACCATCTATCACCATACAAAGGAAATACATTATTATTGACTGTACTTCCGTCATCATGATTTATTTATTTTATAACTGGAGATGTGTACCTTCTTGATCACATTCATCCATTTTGCCCACCTGTCACTCCCCTTCCTCTCTACCAACCACTGCTCTAATCTCTGTGTCTGCAAATCTGGATTTTGTTTTGTTATGAATCTATCCTTGGATTAACTCTAACCATCAATTAACTAGGATTTGGACCTAGCTCGATTGGCCAAGCTTCCTGAATTAACATTGGAAGATGACAGTGCACTATTTTGGACAATAATTATGGGAACAGTATATTTTTTTAATTTTTTTTTAACATTTATTTATTTTTGAGACAGAGAGAGACAGAGCATGAACAGGGGAGGAGCAGAGAGAGAGGGAGACACAGAATCGGAAGCAGGCTCCAGGCTCTGAGCCATCAGCCCAGAGCCTGACGCAGGGCTTGAACTCACGGACCGCGAGATCATGACCTGAGCTGAAGTCGGACGCTCAACCGACTGAGCCACCCAGGCGCCCCTGGAACAGTATTTTTAAAACTCACACGGAAATTGTCACTTTTTAACATAAAGATTTGCAAGAATGCTATTAATGAAATTAATGGAAATCTTTCTAGGAGTTTACTAGGAGGAAACATTTTTCTAATTTGAACATCACTGATAGATAGATTTCTCCTGAATAAAACCTTATGGATGTGGTTACTAGCAACTGGTTATTATTACTTACTCACATATTTTTTATAAATGTTAGAGTTATGCAGAAGAATAATATTTAATAAGATGAAAGATTTTAGTATGCGTTTTTTCATGGCCCTGACTTTGTGCATTAACTTTTATGGATTTTAATTACATAAGCAATTATGATTATTATAGAAAAATTTGTATTCTATCAAGAGTAAGAAAAAAGTTTGAAATGTATAATCCTAACAAAGGCAAGTATATTGATATGTTGTTTTATTTGCCTTTAATTTGAGTAGTGTATATTTACTATTAAATGTGTATATCCACAAGCCTACTAAATATCACATTCATATGTTGCATATACACAAACATATATAAGAAACATAAAAACACACATTTTCAGAAAGTTGCTATCATTACATATATTTTTTGTGTACCCTGAGGTTTTGTTCTTTTTTTAACTTTGCAATTAACTTTTTTCTTGTTTCCACTAACATATTTTTTTACTATTATAAGTTTGGTATAATTCCTCCTGAGTTATTGTGTACTTAAAGTAAATGGAGGGGTGCCTGGGTGGCTCAGTTGGTTAAGCATCCGACTTCGGCTCAGGTCATGATAGAGCAGTTCCTGAGTTCAAGCCACCATTGGGCTCTCTGCTGACAATTCAGAGCCTGGAGTCTGCTTCGGAATCTGTGACTCCCTTGCTCTCTGCCCCTCCCCCATTCATGCTCTGTCTCTGTCTCTCAAAAAATAATTGTTAAAAAATAAATAAGTTAAAAAAAGATGAAGTGAATGGGATTTTTCACAGTTTCAAATAAGGCTATAATGTGAATAATTTAAACTACATCTTCATGAAGTTTAAAAATCAAGCTTCAAAACATCAATCAATTTGATGAAAAAGCATTAAATATCCTTTATGCTCGTTGCTAATTCTTAAGGGTTTTATATTTTTGTTAAGCTTATGAATGGATTAGGTTTATCTGATATATTCTTTAACTGGTCACGGTGGTATTAAAGAAGCTCTTGACGATTATAATAAGCAATTCCCTGAACTCTGATTTGTAAGAATAACTGCATTCTTTTCTCCTAACTGATCATCTCGAGTTTTTAGATACCACCAAAAAATGTAGGAAATAATACTTGACTTCTCTTTCCTTAGCACTTCTATTTCTATTCCTGTTACCACTATGGCTTAAATATTCAAACAGTCTTTAAGGAAAGCCGGAAAGTCACAGGTCATACCTCTTTGTTCTTTAATGAGAGAGCCTCTCCTGTGTCCCTCTCTTGTAGAAACTTCAGTTTTATACTCCCCACCATACCAACGATGTCATTAACAAGATTTTTATAAACTTAGTGACTTTGTAAGAAATATTTTGTCATAGACTGATTGCCAAATTTTTTCTTACTGAATCTGTTGTACGTTCTAATATTGAAGTGTATTTGCACTCCTAAAATATATTTACTTAACCATGAGTGTAATTACACTATACAGAACTGAAATTGATTGTTATTTTGAATTTTACTTTTAGCGGTGGGATTTGGCAAGAGTTTTCTTTATGTGCATCATTTGTGTCAAAATTATAACAGGTCCTTGAAATGGAAGAATATGGACAACATTTTATAATACAAATCATTTTATTCTTGTTGGAAATGTAATAATATATGTCCTCACTACAGTTCTAAATACTCTAAAGTTCTGATATCAAAATATATCTGGAGCCAAGGGTTTTGAGTACAAGATTGTGATATCCTTGAACTCATTACTTCTTTTTGTGTCCCTCTGCCTTTTTCTTTTTTTTTAATTTCTTTTTAATTTTTTAACGTTTATTCATTTTTTGATAGAGACAGAGCATGAGTGGGGGAGAGGCAGAGAGAGAGAGAGACAGACAGACAGACAGAGACAGAGAGAATCCGAAGCAAACCCCAGGCTCTGAACTGACAGCACAGAGCCAGACTGGGGCTCGAACCCACGAACCTTTAGATCATGACCTGAGCTGAAGTCACACGCTTAACCAACTGAGCCACCCAGATGCCCCCCTCTGCCTCCTTTTTTTTAATTTTTTGATTGTATTTGCCAGTTTCAGCTTTATTTTATGTATTTTATATGTATTTATCAAAATTCCTGTTTCTAATTCATTTGATTTACTTTTGTATACTGTTTGTCCTTTTTCCCCTGGGGTTATCAATTCTTTTTAAACTTTTAAAGTTTTAACTATATTCTGGCACCTTTCTAATTTCCCATTCTGAATTCTAACTCCACTCTTGTTGCATATTTATTATATCTTACTAACTTGTGAAATTGTGGAAGTTAGTGTAAATAATTTGAAATGGAAAAATGGGAAAATGGGAAAATAAATATAATTTTACATGTATTTTGAGTGTTTACAGAAAAATTATTTCATTCTGTTTCACAATCATTTTATATTTCAGCATATTCCATAATAAACATTACTGTCCTCACTCTATACTTATTTTATACATAATTTTATTTAAATCTATTCATAATTTAGAAGCTATGTAGAATATATCAAATTATATTCTCATGTCTAATGAAAATAGTTGCCGCCCCTCTCTCTCCATTAAGAATTAAAATCTAGCCTTCCTTATTATGAAATGCTTTTAAGAATTAGTTTTAATAATGCACAAATTTATTTTATTCATAAAATCCTATATGTAGTTAGATTTGTAAAATCTAAGTGTCTTGATAATATTTACAAAAGTTGGAAATTGTGCAAAGTAACAAAATTATTCTCCAAGGAGACATAACAGTCCAGACACCTTTGTTTATTTTAAGTTTTATTAAATAAGGTGTAGTTTACTACTAAAAAAAATGCTCAATTAAAATGGAAAATACATAAAATATAACGTTTAATCAAAATAATTTCTTCATAGACCTGTTTAGCGATTTTTGTCTCTTTCCTTTCAATATATTTAGTAAACACTTCTCAGTAAATTTGTAAAAATATCTTATGTTGACTGTGTTAATATGGCACGAATCTCCAGTGTACTGATTGAATAAATATGGTGTTTATAGGTAGACAGCAAAATTCTGAGCTTTCATTTTCATATATAGCAATGGAAATAAAAGGTGTTTGATAGTAAATAAATGATTTTCAGCAATAATAAATATAACAACAGAAAAAAAGGAATAATAAAAATGTTATGGTTTGGGCCCAATTTTCATTTTGTATATACTGGCGTGTTATTTTTTGTCAAGTGCCAGAAACTTTCTGACAATTATTTACCATAATATACTCAAGGGAAATTTTCCAGGCATAAGAGCATCAAGAAAAACTCCAGGCCATACTTGGTAATAGATCAGCAAGCCACATAAAAACATGGAGAACCAGAGAGACTGTTGAGAACTGAGAGCAAACTGAGGGTTGATGGGGGGTGGGAGGGAGGAGAGGGTGGGTGATGGGTATTGAGGAGGGCACCTTTTGGGATGAGCACTGGGTGTTGTATGGAAACCAATTTGACAATAAATTTCATATATAAATAAAAAAAAACATGGAGAACCATAAAACATATTCTGAACCAAAAGAATCTATACATGAACCAAAATAAACTCAAAATTTTATATTTTATCAGAAACTTGTAACATGAAAATGTAAGCCCACTATTTCTCATCAGTGCCTAGAATTCCATACACATAGTAACATCAATAAATATTTGATGGATGAATGAAGAAATACCAAGCCGTAGCTATAGTTGCAGTTATTGAGGCTTTAGGAGATTCAATAACTAAACAGAATAATGATAGATTAAAGATAGATTGATGATAGACACAGGACAAGGTAACCTAATTAAAATGTGTTCCAAAATTCTCAAATTATATGCAGTTCTTTATAAAGTTCCACATTACAGGAATATCTTTGACGGGTTTTAAGAAAACTTATGGGAATTGACTAGATCACACATTTGCTGAGGAACAGTCTTACTGAATTGTGTCTGGATAGGTATTGTTTCCATGGCTGTGACATTCAGAATAATCTGTTCTTGAACCATAACTATAGACAATAGGTTATGTAGAATGAGAGATGTTTATTTTTCCTACTCATGATGAATTAATATTAGTAAAGTTTAATTATTTAAAAT